AAGGCTACCTTCCCATATGTCTATATATCATGATAAGTGTGCTGTCCATGGACAGAATTTTTTCTGACATAACATTGTTTTAGCTAAGTTGTATCTATTAAAATAACATTTAGTGTATCAAATTGTATACATTTGACTTAACTTATTATATACATGTATGATAATTTTCAAATTACTTTTTCCTTGTGTTTAATTAATGAGGCTTTATACTGACAATACTCCAGGTGTTAAATATATTGACTGAATTAAGATTTAGTTGTGTGGAACCCACTTATATGTTATTTGACCCACTTTGCTGTTTTGTAGGCAACTTATTCATTCTGACAGAAGAATCTGTTAAGAAATGGTACTTGGTAGATTATATGAATAATGAATAAGTATGTACTATAGATATTATTGACAGTGTATGCCGGGAACACTTACTGGTAGTACTTTTAAGAAATTTATAGGCCATGACTATTTAGGTATTGCTCTGATAGCGGCGGCAGTCTTGGGCTATCAATATCAGGTACTGTAGAATGAATACTTAATGGATTAATTTAATATCATAGCTGTAATGTAATATATAAATATAACATGGAAAAAAAGAGAGCAGCCTTTATGTGTGTCAGACATATATTGGCTCGAGATTGTGTTAGACATATATTGGCTCTAGATTGTGTTAGACAATATTATATTGGCTCTAGATTGTGTTAGACATATATTGGCTCTTAGATTGTGTTAGACATATATTGGCTCTAGATTGTGTTAGACATATATTGGCTCTAGATTGTGTTAGACATATATTGGCTCTAGATTGTGTTAGACATATATTGGCTCTAGATTGTGTTAGACATATATTGGCTCTAGATTGTGTTAGACATATATTGGCTCTAGATTTAATTCATTGTTGTTCCATTAAATTTCATATATTGGCTCTAGATTGTGTTCTTGGAGACATATATTGGCTTCTAAGATTGTGTTAGACATATATTGGCTCTAGATTGTGTTAGACATATATTGGCTCTAGATTGTGTTAGACATATATTGGCTCTTAGATTGTGTTAGACATATATTGGCTCTAGATTGTGTTAGACATATATTGGCTCTTAGATTGTGTTAGACATATATTGGCTCTAGATTGTGTTAGACATATAGTGGCTCTAGATTGTGTTAGACAAATGTTGGCTCTAGATTGAATGCATTGTTGTTGTTCCATTAAATATCATGATCGCAGCTTGGAATTTTGGAAAGGTCCTTTTGGACTGCTACACCTCAATTGTTACTATTTTATGAAAGAAACTCAAGATTTGTTAAATCTTGAAATTCTCTGATTCTTCTTTGTAGTGGACATTGATATTTACCCAATTTAAGTTTCCATCAAAATAGAACTGTTTAATTTCTGTTCAGTAATCTTTTAAATCTTTTATTGACTTTAATTTGATGCATATAACATCATTTTGACTGATATAAAGAGTTGATGTAAACTTCTCCTTATTGTATAATTGCTGAATAGTAAAGTGATGTGAAAAGTATCTATAAATTAAGCCACAGTTGGTACACCATTTTGATTTCTTTTGTGTTTCTTTTATTTTTCTTTACTGCAATTAGAGACATATATCAATTGGTAAAGTATTCAGTTCCTTTGAGCTTTAGTGATTTTCGGCATCCATTGTCTTTTTTTGTGTGACATTTTGACTGATGCTCATTTATAACTGTTGCGGTATGCATCTTTTAAGTGTAATTCAGAGATACAGTCTATTTGTCAATGTCTAATGGACTGGTAGTAATATGTCATTTGCTACATCAAATATGCATGGTTTAGGTGACTGAGATGTGTTTTTACTGACATTCTTACATTTCTTCTAACATGTTTGGGATTCACTGAAATCTTGTCACATTTGTGTGTGGTTTTCTTGTCCTATGAACAGCTATGGCTTTGAAATCAATGATTGCTTGGTACCAATACCATTCTCACTATGAACTGCAATCATGTCATCATTTTTCTTAGGAATCTGCAAAAAATACCAAACTTGGACAATGTTTTTGTCACAGTTCTAAGTTGTTAGTTTTATCAGTCTTATGATATATGAAAGAGAATAGAGATGGGAAACTGTTAACCTATTTTGATTAATTTCAGATGTATACTTGTTTTGCACCTTGATTAGAAGAAAAGCAATCTTACAAACATGATAGTAGAAAGTTGCAGAAGAAGGAAAGAAAAACAAGTTACATTTATATCAAATTAAATTGATATTGATTTCATATATTGATGGGTATTAGGTGTCATCTTCAAACAGCTTGATGCAATTTTTGTTCATTACCAATGCATTGATTCCCTGATAATTTTCAGAATTATCTCTATACCACATCAGACAAGAGAAAATGATAAATAATATTGCCTTATTCTGCTATTAATGTATTTATCCCATAATTGGACAATATGGAAATTGGAATGGCTCCAATGGCATGATAGAGGGCAGGATGTTTAGGCAAACTGGTGCAGGCATGAGTTTCTGTACATATTTGATTTATTGACTTAGTGTAATGTAAACTCCATTAGAGGAACATTATGAGAAAATTGCAGTGGATGATAATAATGACTTACGTGCAGATAATGCTGTATGAATTATTGATGTTGTAGTAACTTTGAACAGTTACACTAGTTTATGAAAGAGACATGAAATTTAGAGGGCCTAGCTTTGATATAATAAAAAACTGAAGCAGAACTTTAACTAGAATCTGAGAGCTGTATGCCTAATAGTACAGGAAGCAAGGGTTTGGATGATGACTATGCTTCGCTATACATTAAATCTTGTACTGGTTTAGTAAAGGAAGTGGAGTAGTTAAAATAATATGTTAAAATTACAACTCTGACTTGGCATATTGTAGTCTCCACATTGAATGGTTAGTGTTAGATTGTGCATGTGTTTTTTTGTGTATCTAGATCTAATTCTCTCATTTAAAGGTTTTTTTTTTTTCAAAATGAATAAGTGCAATGTCATTGAAATTGTTCTGTGTTATTATGTTATGCATCCACACTAAAGTTTAGAATATGACTTTATTTATGAAAGATATGACCTTTTTATCCATGTACTTAAACATTTAACACTATGTGATAATCACTTGTCATTTGTCACCCTTACCATCAATTGCTTTGTAACAAGCTTTAATCCATCTTTGGACAATTGCTCAATATCTGGAAATTTAACTTTCAATTATAAAAGTCTTAAAACCAAAGGAAAGAGGCCCAAAAAGAAGAGATTTTAATACCATATTGTAAATGTTTATTTAATTCACAATATAAATTATTTAAAAGGTGAAATTTTGACAAACTAGAAACACCAGTCCTGTTATACAGAATGATGTTAGTGATAAATCAACTTTTGGAGATCAGTAGGGTGGGGATAACTCTTCAGTATGGTGGGAGATAACTATTCAGTATGGTGGGGGATATCTATTTAGTATGGTGGGGGATAACTTTTCAGTATTGTTGGAGATAACTCATCAGTATGGGGGATAACTATTCAGTATGGTGGAGGATATCTATTTAGTATGGTGGGGATAACTTTTCAGAATTGTTGGGGATAACTATTCAGTATGGTGGGGGAAAACTCTTCAGTATGGGGATAACTATTCAGTATGGTGGGGATATCTATTAAAGTATGGTGGGGATAACTGTTCAGTATGGTGGGAGATAACTATTTAGTATGGTGGGAGATAACTATTCAGTATGGTGGGAGATAACTATTCAGTATGGTGGGGGATAACTATTTAGTATGGTGGGAGATAACTATTTAGTATGGTGGGAGATAACTCTTCAGAACTGGGGATAACTATTCAGTATGGTGGGGGATATCTATTTAGTATGGTGGGAGATAACTATTTAGTATGGTGGGAGATAACTCTTCAGTACTGGGGTTAACTATTCAGTATGGTGGGGGATATCTATTTAGTATGGTGGGGATAACTGTTCAGTACGGTGGGAGATAACTATTTAGTATGGTGGGAGATAACTATTCAGTATGGTGGGGGATAACTATTCAGTATGGTGGGAGATAACTATTCAGTATGGTGGGGGATAACTATTCAGTATGGTGGGGGATAACTATTCAGTATGGTGGGAGATAACTATTCAGTATGGTGGGGATAACTATTCAGTATGGTGGGGGATAACTATTCAGTATGGTAGGGGATAACTATGCAGTATGGTGGGAGATAACTATTCAGTATGGTTTGGGATTTCTATTCAGTATGGTTGGGAATATCAGTTTTGTATGGTTGGGGATAACTATTCAGTATAGTGGGGGACAACTATTCAGTATGATGGGGGATATCTATTCAGTATGGTTTGAGATAACTATTCAGTATGGTAGGGGATAACTATTCAGTATGATGGGAGATAACTATTCAGTATGGTGGGGATAACTATTCAGTATGGTGGGGGATAACTATTCAGTATGATGGGGATAACTATTCAGTATGGTGGGGGATATTTATTCAGTATGGTGGGGGATAACTATTCAGTATGGTTAGGAATATCAGTTTTGTATGGTTGGGGATAACTATTCAGTATGGTGGGGAATAACTATTCAGTATGGTGGGGGATAACTATTCAGTATGGTGGGGGATAACTATTCAGTATGGTAGGGGGTATCTATTCAGTATAGTGGGGGATATCTATTCAGTATGGTGGGGAATAACTATTCAGTTATGGTGGGAGATATCTATTCAGTATGGTTAGTGATAACTATTCAGTATGATGGGGGTTATCTATTCAGTATGGTGGGGGATATCTATTCAGTATGGTTGGGCATATCAGTTTTGTATGGTTGGGGATATCAATTCAGTGAAGTTGTTTGTTATATTGTATATCATATTAAGACCTTCATATTAATAAAAATCCACTCATAAGAAGAAATATACATTAACAGACCTTAAAATTAATGGGTTTTACCTGTGTACCAAAGAATTTTCACATTATTTTTATTCTAATTATAGTATATTTTTTCTATTTTTAGCACAATGTCGAAATTCGCTTGGTATGCAGTCTGGCTCCATACCAGATGAAGCTATTACAGCAAGTTCCTCCTTCAATGATGACAGTGTAGGGCCAAAAAATGGAAGGTAATGTATATATTTGTTATATATTTCAGAGCAGTTAATTTGGAGAAATTATTTAAAATGGAATATAATTTTAGACTCATAAAGATGCTTAATTATCATACCTTGATTTTTACATCAGCATGTAAGTTGAAACTAAACCAAGAGGAGATTTTATCCCTGTTAGGGATCAAAACCCAAACAGAATTAAGATGTTAGAAAATGGTAGAAAAAAATGGAGCCTGCAAAACTCACAGGTTTCCATAATAGCTTGTTTTTTTGGAGATGTGTGTAGTTTTACATGAGCGTTCATCAATAAATAGAATTTGTAATGATATAATTATGCTAAGAACATTTATTATAATAATGTTTTTTCCATACTATCAATATAGTGCATTTCTGTATGCATATGAAGGTTTGTTTTGGCCAGTAATTGCTGGCAGGTCTAGACATAGTGGAATGGATGTGGGATGATTTTCCTTCACTGTAAATTATTCTGCAATTTCTTATCTCTATAATTTTCTACTGGGATTTTTATTTTGGATAGTTCCATGTTTTTATTTTATTCTATGTAACAGTTTATGGAGGGATGAAATTGTAAAACCTTATCAGCCTTTTCAACAAACTGAAATATTAATGAGAAAATCTTGAAATACAATGACACTTTTGATACAGTATACTTTGATAGGTTGTTGTTATGGAAATTAAATTAATTAAAGGTTCACTCCAACTTAATTTTGAAATTATGTTTGTCATTTAAAACTTTAATTCTGTATTATTCTCATAAGGGGACAAATTCCAGAAATATCCTAAAATCTTTACATATGTCTGAATGCTCTCTTCTCTTATAACTGATCAGAATTTTGGCTTTGACAGCATTTCACCATCTCTAACATTGAACATTTCTCTTGATTGGCTGTAATATTCACTATATTTAACTATTGTTCTATTTATGAATCAATAATTAATCATCATAAAAAAGGTAGAAAGGAGAGAATGGATAAGAGTAGATGATTATTGATTTGGTCTCATTTTTCCACAATTCCTTCTTTTGATGTCATAGAAAAACTGGGACAATATCTCAATTTTTTTCATTTAATTTGTCATTTTCTGTCATATTGAATAAATAGATGGTTTAAAATTGGAAACAATCATAAATTGATCTGTGATTGCTATCATGTGTCAGTAACAACAGTTTTGAATATCTACTATAGGTGGTTACATTTTGTTTAATTAATGATGTGAGTTATAATGTCATAAAATATCTGCATTTATGCATCCTGATTTACATCATTAATATATGTATTTTTTTAAGTTATAATGTCATAAAATATCTGCATTTATGCATCCTGATTTTTTTTACAGTTTCAGCAGGCATTCCTACAGTTTCTAACTAGCAATTATTTCTCCATCAATATCTTCCATACTTAGTAGGTTTATACCTTGGATGCTTTAAGTTTTGATGTCACTTGGGTCAATGCCAAGGTTACCATCATGCTTGGAAAGGTCTTTTCCCTAAAACTGCTGCATTGATGGTTGACTGTCCTCTCAACAATTCTGTCATTCATGAACAGATTTTAAAATAACTTGACATAAATATGTTTGACATGATGATAATATGTTGCTCAGAAGACTCTAGCTTAAAGGTCAAAGTATTTCTTGCACATCAAAGTCATGATATGAAGCTTTGATAAAAGTGCATTGATGATTGCAACTGGTCTACAATTCTAATTCAGAATGGATATTTAAATAGCAAGGCATAAATATGTTTGACATGCTGGGCTCAAGAATCAGGTCTCTAGTTTAAAAGTTAATGTCACTCATAGCCTTGTATGTCCAGTCATACTATGATTGTGTATATATGGTTGTGTTTAATGCATAGTTTTCATGGATTGCCTGGAAATATTTCTGTATAAATATGTCGCTTTATGATGACAACATGTAAATGGACAAGAAGCAATTCAGCACCCCAATGGTCAAGGTCATACTTGAATATGAAAGTGCATTAATGGTCATGTCTAGTCCATATCTGGACATCAGTCATGTTTTGTTATTTTAATCAGTGTGTCACAGCAAGCAGTGTTATTATTTATAGAATTATAATTATTTTACTTTAATAGACAGGTATTATGGCAAAGTGACTCGGGATATATCTTGCTCATGATTTCATGTAAAATCTGCATAAATGGTAAAGTTTGTACACCACTTTGATTTCATGTTTAATTGATAATAAGATGATGTTTTTCCCCCCCAAAGTCTTAAAAAATGCTAGCTGCTTCCTGATAAATCAGATGGCTAATTCTTGGTTTTTTCTTCTTTATTTTTTTTTTAAAAAAAGCCCACATTGCATTTTGTTTAAAAGAAAAATTTTCATTTTAATTTCTGTGTAAAAAATCAACTGGTGTTTATAATATTATTACAAACATCTCAGTTGAAGAAATTGTCCTGTAAGACATCACATTAATTTCTCAACCTTAACATTCATGCTTCCATGTTTTATTAGATGTATTCAATGTTTTAAAAGTTGTATAATTTAATCAGTGAAAGTAGTCATAACTAACAAGCTAGGGATAACTCAGAATAATTCTAGCTTGTTCTCTTGAACTGTGAAAATAGACATTCTAATATTTGGAAACAAATTAACATTTCTGTAACAGACAATTGATTGTTTTAAGGCAGATTGCAAATCATCTGAAAATTACTTCCAAGTCCCATGGGAATCCTGCACATATTAGTGAGCTTTTGTTTGGTAACAATTATTTATAGATTTGCGTCCACAATGTTCCTTTTTCTCCATTCTTTTAAATTGGGGAAATCTTGTCCAAGAAAAAGACTGCTGTAAATTTGGACACAGTATTCTTCTGCTGTACCACAGAGGCATAACTGGCGCCTGATTGTCTGCTATGTTATTGAACTGTGAATCAATCAATACTGTAGTAAGCCAGGAGTTAGTCCACCAAAATATAGTTTCATGCTATTAATAACAATAGCAGCAAAAGATAAATGCAGGGGACACATTCACATAATCCTGGGTAATTGCCGATCATGGCTATTTCAGTGAGACAGCAGATTTGTTACATGAAAGAATGGAAAGTATTCAGTTCAATAGCATATAGACCAGTGATTTATTTATGGAAATGGTGATCAAAAGTTTTGAAATTATTAAGTAAAGTTATTCTGTTAACATTATCAAATCTATTCATTTGAAACTTGATTTCTTCATTATCAAAGTCATATCACAAAGGTTAGATCATTCTAAAATATAGTAGTAATATTATATCCCCCTTTTTTACTTAGATTAATTTCTCTCCCTAATGTAACCCTTTTGATGAAAGAGGTCAAACTTTGTTCCACCAACAACTGGCTGATTGATTCAGGTTGCTACATTAATACCTGACTAAATGCCACTAAACTGCTGCTGACTATGTTTAAATCCTGGCAAAGATGTTTGTGGTAGCTTGATGTAGCCAGTTTTGGAAGGGTTGGAATAATGCATGGAGAGAAACCATTTATAGTTGTAGACCAAACAAATATATAAAAATTAGGAGCATTCTTTGATTTGATTGATGTCCTATAGATACATTTCTAGTTAATTCTATTTTCTCTTTTTTTCTTTTTCTGTCCTTCCCCTACCATATCTGCATTTTTATACCCCCGCACAACAAAGTTGTAAGGGGGGTATACTGGAATCAGCTTGTCCGTCCGGCTGTCCGTCCGTCCGGCCGTCCGTCCGTCGGTTTTTTCTTGTCCGCCCAATAACTTAAGATTCCTTTGACCCTTAGTCTTCATATTTGGCATGGAGGTTGGTCATGATTAGTAGATGATCCCTATTGATTTTGAGGTCACTAGGTCAAAGGTCAAGGTCACAGGGGCCTTGACTTCAAAAAGCTTGTCCGCCCAATAACTTAAGATTCCTTTGACCCTTAGTCTTCATATTTGGCATGGAGGTTAGTCATGATTAGTAGATGACCCCTATTGATTTTGAGGTCATCAGGTCAAAGGTCAAGGTCACAGGGGCCTTGACTTCAAAAAGCTTGTCCGCCCAATAACTTAAGATTCCTTTGACCCTTAGTCTTCATATTTGGCATGGAGGTTAGTCATGATTAGTAGATGACCCCTATTAATTTTGAGGTCACCAGGTCAAAGGTCAAGGTCACAGGGGCCTTGACTTCAAAAAGCTTGTCCGCCCAATAACTTAAGATTCCTTTGACCTACAGTCTTCATATTTGGCATGGAGGTTAGTCATGATTAGTGGATGACCCCTATTGATTTTGAGGTCACCAGGTCAAAGGTCAAGGTCACAGGGGCCTTGACTTCAAAAAGCTTGTCCGCCCAATAACTTTAGATTCCTTTGACCTACAGTCGTCATATTTGGCATGGAGGTTAGTCATGATTAGTAGATGACCCCTTTTGATTTTGAGGTCACTGGATCAAAGGTCAAGGTCATAGGGACTTTGACTTCAGAAAGTTTGTCCACCCAAAGATTCCTTTGACCCACAGTCTTCATATTTGGTATGGATGTTGATCATGACTATAAGGTGACCCCTATTGATTTTGAGGTCACTGGGTCAAAGGTCAAGGTCACAGGGACCTTGACAAAAAAAAGCTTTTCTTCTCAATTGCTAAAGAATGTCCTGTCCGCAATGTATTGATTTTGACATTTGAAGCATGTAGAATACATAACTAAGCAATGCACTGGCTTAGTAACCTCAGATTTGGCAGGGAGGTTGTCCTTGAGCTCTAAATGGCCACTGTTGATTCTGACAAAGTGGTATGCGGGGGTATTCACGCCATGATAGTGGCAGTTCTAGTTTGAACTCCTTCTTCCCTATCCTTCTGTGCAAACTTTCAGCTGATTTTACAAGATTGCAAATTATATTTTTGTTGAAAATGATCACAGCTTTCTACGTCTTCATTTGGCACTCTCTCTACCTTTCTAATTATAAAGATTGAAAATCAGAAGGTGGTAACAAGTTTTTATTTCCCAGTGGTCAATTTGTTCATTGTTGGACCAATCTGTTCCA